TACCTGGGTTCCACAAAGAAAAACAAACTACCGCTGGGCCCAGAAATCAACATAAGTAAACATTGCAGCTTCTCCTCTGAGTGGGTGGTTATTGCTGCATCATCTGCAAACAGCAGCTCACTGATAAGTACCTTTCTTATCCTGGTTTTGGCGTTCAGCCTACGAGCATTGTAAAAGATGCCATCAGATCGAGAATGGATGAATATACCCCTCCTGATCTCGAAAGGCGTGTTTCAAAAGAAGTGAGAAGTATATTCAAAAGAGGGTAGGAGCATGTACACATCTCTGCTTCACTCCGTTGTTGATTACAAACTCCTCCGATGTTAGACCATTAAAGATGATTGTACTATTGATACATGTGTGGAACGACTCAATAATACTCAGTAGGGTAGGTGGACATCCACCTTCTTCAGTGCGTTGAAAAGACCTTTCCGACTAACCAAATAAAATGCCTTGGTAAGACAAAATAACAGCAATATACAGCGGTTGATTTTGTTCATGGCATTTTTCCTGCAACTGTCGTAATGAAAATATCCCATCAGCGGTAGACCAGTTCTCACGAAAGCCACACTGGGGCTCTGGGTAAACCCGGTCTGCCAGGATCTGGAGTCTTCGCAGAACAATTCTCGCAGGTACTTTTCCAACAGTACACGGCAGTGATATTCCCCTGTAGTTATTGCAGTCACTCCGATCACCCTTGTTCTTGTACATAGTTATGATGCTTGATTCTTTAAAGTCCTGCGGAAGCTTGCCCTCTTACTAGCAGAGCATTATTAGCTGATAAATGTGTGTGGTTAGAAGGTTTTTCCCAGTCCTGATGATCTCAATAGGAATTCTGTCTCTGCCTGGGCCTATCCCCGAAGCCAGTTAGTTCATCGATAGCATTATTAACTTCTACAATTGTTGGAAATGTATCCAGATAGTCAAGAGTAGGTAGCGTCTCCATGACATTAAGAGCACCATCTGCTAGTTTAGTATCAACTGAGTAAAGCTCCAGATAATATTCCACCCATCTATCTAGTTGCTTCTTCTTGTCATTTATAATCTCCCCATTCAAACTCCTTAGTTGTGCACTTTTTTAAATTGTAGGACCGATGGCCTTCTTGATCCCCTCATACATGCCTCTAACATTACCACTACTGCTAGCATTTTGAATACTTTAACATAACTGGATCCAGTAGTTGTTGGCACACTGTCTAGCTACCTTTTGCAAATGATTCCTAGCTGCTCTTAATTCAATGAGATTGTTCTTTGGTGTTCTCTACTTGTTTCTGAGTGTTAACTTTTTGCTGTCAATTAAGAGTTGGAGTGTCAGGCTATTTGCTTCAAACCAGTCCTTACTTCTATGTTCTCGAATCCCATAGACCGATGCAGTCTTCTTAATTGCATCAAATTTTCAGGCTTGCTGTAGAGTTATCCTGGATATCAGTGAAAACATCTTCGAGCTGTTGTTGAAACTCTTGAAACACTTTTCAGGGTTTTTAGTTTTGGAAATATCTAACCTAGGGATATATTTGTTTTTCGAAGTGAAAATTCTCTTTGGGTTCATCCCAACTCTTGCAGCAACTAGGGAATGGTCAGTATCACAGTCAGCACCGGGGTATCTGCGAGTTAGTGATACACAGTTCAAGTGCTGCCTCCTTGTGAGAATAAGGTCCAGCCGGTGCCAGTGGCCGGATCTTGGATGTTTCCATGACACCTTATGGCGGTCTTTAGTTTTGAAAAAGGAGTTTGTGATGCACAAGTCACCTCTAGTGCAGAATTACAGTAGTCTTTGATCATTTTCATTCATGGGGCCAACATTATATTTTCCAAGATAAACTGGCCATGAGTTTGAGTCCGACTCCACACGAGCATTAAAACCACTATGTGTATAGATACCGTCAGATTTAGAAACTGCTTTCACTACATTATACAGTTCCTCGTAAAAAGAATCCTTTGCGTCCTCCGAGAGTGGGTGCATTTGCATCAAGAGTGATAAAACCGCTTGAGATAGACAATCGTAGGGCTAATATTCTGTCACTTCTTCTAGTTGGACTCTCAACTGATGCCAGCAGAGAATTATTTACTACAGATCCCACTCCATACATTCTGATTTCTTCCTGGCCTCTGCCTTTCCAGAAGAATGTATAATTATTTTCTCTAATTGATCCAACCTCTGGCAGATGTGTTTTCTTTAAGCTGTCAAAATCTATGTCAAGTTTATTGAGTTCGACATCAACGAAAGCCGTTTTTCTCACATCACTGATGTTTTCCAGGTCAGCGGAAAACCCCCGACACATAGTCCTCACGTTCCAAGAGCAAAGTCGAAGCTTGAAGTAATATTTCTTTTTATTGCCTGGTGCAATGGTTTGGTTTTTACACTTTTCGATTAGGATTTTGTCCTAGCTCCAAGCACCCACTTAAGAATACAGGCTGTGGCGGATTCCCTCCCCCACCCCCCAAGAGCAATTTTTCCTTATTTAAAAGCTCCACTCCGGTTGCTGTCGGAGGCCCTAATATAACATAACGATTGGACGGGGTTCCTGGGACTTGCGCCCGGGTGGTTATCGTCCGAATGGTGGCACTTTGTTGTCACAGGGTGCTTATTGCTCGTTGTATGGTCCTGGTGGAGTTGAACTTCATTCATTTATTATCACACGCTGACCATATCTCATTTATTGCGCATGACCTGCCTTTGGTCATACCTAGTTTCGTCCTTTTTAGGACGAAATTTTCTGTTATTTAAAGCCCCACCCTGGCTTATTACAGGGGCCGCAATATAGGCAGGCCATAAATATGGCCAATTGTCTGAACGCGGTTTCTGGGACCTCTCCACGGTGATCCTCACCCGCATAGTGGCACATTGTGTCATTGGGTGTTTATCGCTTGTGTGATGTCCTGGTGGGGTAGAAAGTCAGTCCGTCCATATCTCAACACTTAATATAGCCATCTTCTACATCTACATAGTATTTATAACAAAAAAGTAAAATCTAAATTAATACGATGTTATATAAAAGACATATCTTTACCATGAAAGTCTAGTTTATCGCTTCTTCAGGAAATTAAAATTCCATGGTTATACAAGTTACTAATATTTATAAATTTGGCATGCCTTCTTCTTCTTCTTCTTTTCATTCACTAGTAATAAATTTTGGCTGGAAAATTCTGGTCGTTCGTCCACTTCTGGACTCTAGTCCTGTTCCAGAACTCAAATGTTGCTTGAAAACTCGTTCTACAGAGCTGACTATTTTGTATGTATAGTGTTGGTTCCTTGCCACTCAATTAGCAGGCTCTTACGACACGACATGATTTTGAGTAGGCAGTGGGTCTATTTTCGTTTTCCCTACAGTGGGACCCCAGAACCCACATGAGGGATTTTAGTATGTGGCTAGATTAACAATAATAACTCATGTATAAACGATGTTTTAATGTTCAATTTTTTTTAAACGGAGACAGAAAATGACAGAGGGCGGTCGGGAAATAAGAAAAAAGGTAACTCTTGTTTAAAAACCGTATATATATATATATATATATATATATATATATATATATATATATATATATTATATATATATATATATATATATATATTCAGCAAACAAATCAGCAAATAATTTGAAATTTATCGAAGCCCCACCCTAGCTTTAGCCAGGGGCGTCAATATAGGCAGGCCATAAATATGGCCAATTGTCTGAGTGCGGTTTCTGGGACCTCTCCACGGTGATCCTCATCCACATGGTGGCACTTTGTGTCATCGGGTGCTTATCGCTTGTGTGATGTCCTAGTGGAGTAGAAAGTCAGCCAGTCATCAGCAAATAATCCTTATGTCCTTTTTAGGATGAAATTTTTTGTTAATTGAAGCCCCACCCTGGCTTTTGCCAGGGGCCGCAATAAAGGCAGGCCATAAATGTGGCCAATTGTCTGAACGCGGTTTCTGGGACCTCTCCACGGTGATCCTCACCCGCATGGTGGCACATTGTGTCATCAGGTGTTTATCGCTTGTGTGATGTCCTAGTGGGGTAGAAAGTCAGTCAGCAGACAAATCAGCAAATGCGAGACACATACATAGAGTAACGTTGAGAACCCTCTTCCGCGCCTGCATGCGTATGGGCATATGGACCTAAACCAATCAGCACTTAATGGGCGATGTTGTGAACATCATGCCGGCCTCCTTTGCTTCATAGGAATGTGCTTGCTACCCAATCAAGGGAGCCACGGTCATTTCTGAAGAAAAAAAAAAGTCAAGCTCCATCAGGACTTCCGTCAACACCTTCCTTTCCTCAGGCGAGCGCTTAGCAGCTACATCACGGTGACTCCCGTAAGACACAATACATAACATTAATAAAAACAAAAGTTCAATCACAGTTCTGTTGGGTAAATTTGATGGTGTGGTGAAACGAATAGAATAGTGGAAGGGAAGTGGGGGGGGGGGGGTGGGTATATACGGCGAAACTAATATGAACTGCAAGTAACATTTGTGAATTGTGAAGCACAGCTAAAAGAAATGAAGTTTTTTTAACGTTTAAAAAAAAAAAAATAGTCTTGCGAGTCTTTGGACCCATTAAAGATGCAGAAAGCGGGAATGGAGAGTGAGACGTAATAACGAAATTTATAATCTATTTAAATCACCACTGATCATGAGGGCTTTTAGTTGAAATGGTTGGGGCCTAATGAGAAAATGGCAGATAACAGAAGCAAAAGCTGTCCACAGGGGATATTGAATGAGCGCAGACCACGAGGCAGAACAAGAAGATGGAGAGATAGTATTCAGGCAGACCTACAAACACTCTGAGTCAACAACTGGAAAGAGAGGAGAAATAACAGAGGTTAATAGAGATGGGTGATTTCTGCAGTGATAAACCTCAAAGGCTTGGAATGCTGAAGAATTAATGAATTGCTTCGTTTTATTTCCGGTCTTCGAATTGGTTTATAAAAATATAGAATTACTGTTTGTATTTCAACGAAACAATTCTATTGGAAGTAATTTCTACATACGTACTTAACTATAGTCAACAAGTATGGCGTCTGACTATGAGAAGTACGATGGTGCGCTGTTGGGTATTTTACAAAATGAAGGCAAAGTCGCTCCTTTTCTCGATGTTATCCTTGGATTTCTTTACAGAAGGTGTTTACTATGTGTGTCCCATTCACGTTTGAATTGATGCATCTCATGTAATTTAATATTATTTATACATAAAGTACAACGGAACTAAACATTACAAATACAAAGCAATCCGTCGGCAATCTTTCGAATGCCGGTCCGTGACTAAATTATATTCACTGCGAATATGGTAAGCTTAGTTTCAGCTTTATAGCACGCGGGTCACCCCATCGTTGCCCCGCTCCTGTACCAACAAAAAAACACACAGAATGTTTATCACAGTCTATTGTGGAAATATTGACAGACTGCTGTTTCAGCATATGCACTAGCATACAAACGCGTTAGAAGCATACGGCGCCATACATGTTACGGTAGCCGTCCGAAGTGCTAACACAAACAGTTCGACATTAGGGCTCTCCCCCGAACTTCTACTCCCGCATTATGGCGGCCTGAAATTTCCAGCACTACTTGGAACGGCACCATAAAATGGCGGCAGTAATATGATGCCACATTCTGGCCATAAAATATCCAAAAATATCCGAACGGTGTTCGGGCGTATCTAAAATACGGACTTTCTGCCAAGGAACAAATCGCGGCAAAACTAGGATTACTTGACAATCACTATCAACATTGCACACGGTAGTACCAGACGATAAATACCGACCGTTGACAATTTCGAGCGTTTCTGCAGACGATATTAGTGACCGTTGACCACTTTCGAGACATTACAGATGATGAAAGCTGATTAGCAAAACTGTGTTCTTCCGATTGGAGGATTTAGCAGCGGTAGATGTCAGACTTGTCGGCATGCGCCAAACGCGATTAAACTCATCGCCTAGCTTATCCCCCGCGCCGCAATTAACATATCGCTGAGACCCTGTTAAAGCATTTGTTTTGCTATACGGAGCCGATCCTAGTTTTGCCGTGATTCGTTGTCGCCGGAAGTTCACATATTTCTAATAGCACTGAGCCCAGTACGGATATTTTTCGGCGCCAAAATGTCGGGGTAGAAGTTCGGGGGAGAGCCGACATTAGAAATACGGTTTATCATGGATGGCAGTTGCACACGCGATCAATTTTAATCACATAATGGTACCACCAATACTCCAACAACAAGCGTCGCGCCATTCTCTGAATCTACAATTCACACCACCACGTTGGTCACAGTAAAAAAACATTCCAAATAAAATCCACAGCACACAGTGTCATGCCATGCACTCAACTCAGAAGCTGGGTGACGAAACTATATCCTTTCAGTCTACAAATGGTGCAAAAATGCAGTGACCACCTTCTGGCAGAAGCAAAAAATTTGCCACAGCTCAAAACAGTTGCCGTGCCTAGCGTCCATTTTTGACCGGAAGTCACTGCGAGAAACATTCCTTTGAGAGCCTTAAGAGGTTATGTAGTAAAAACATTTAGGCCACATCATCAGATTCCACATCTGCCATTATTACTCGATGGATAGCAATGTTAAGCGTTGTGGGGAGGAATAGTTTTTGATCCATTGATGCGTTGGTGGGAGGACTAATTTTGCTCCACTTTTCACATGTCATTACCCGTGACTCGCTGAGTAAATCCACTGCCACCTAAAAAGCATGTTGTAAAGGGTGACTATTTAGTACTTTGCTGAAAGCGGATGTGTTGAGGTGAAAGGCGCAGATATCGCAGCCTCACTGTAAACCACAATACAACATGCCAACCACCTTTTTTAGGGCTACAAAATTTGTAGAGTTTGGTTCCCATGAAATAATATAATAACGTGAAGCATAGTTCATAGGGTTCCTATTCCATAGGTTTAACTATATGACCTTTTGAGGCCCTTAATGGGATGTTTTTAACAGTGAATAATTTGGGACCGATATTCAGAAGAGTGCCTCATCCGTCTTAGCAGAACATCTTGTTTCGTTTCTGATCTGCCTTCTATCCCCAGCCAGCTTACTTCCAGTCAAAATGTTTTTTTACTGTGACCAACATGGTGGTGTGAATTACCAGAGCACCATGTATTAGCTCTGCATTTGTGGAAGCCTTCTTGGAAGGCCAGGAATGCTCATGTTCTACCCCTGCCTTCTCTTGAGGGCTGATCAGCATTATGTGGCCTCTCTGGATGAGCTTGATTGGGGCACCACCTGTGACCTGGGAAATAAAGATGACCACACAACAATGAGACTGCCATGTCCTCAGAAACTAACCGGGAAGGCTAACCCGGTCAACAAATGCCTGCAGAAGTCGGATGTGTTGGCCGAAAGGTGTAAATATCGCAGCCATGCTGTAAACGGACACAACGCAATTACATCTTCGGATGAACGCAGAAGAAGAAGAAGACTGCCAGACTTATGCCAGGTGGTTCTATCCTTTGCTATTGCATGCTGCTCACCACATATCTTTCCTTCCCCATTTTTTATTTTAGTTTCACTCTTTGGCTCCCTTCTTTCTCCATGTGTGTTAATTAATCATTCCTAACCAAACAGAATGAGAATATGAAGTATAATTGTATACTGTATACCAGTACTGCAGTACATTGATCACATCTCTGTTACAGCATGCCTGTACTTCAGTGGATATAGTAAAATGTATTATTTTGTCTGTTTGATTGCATTCTTTTTCAGGACTGACTTTTTTAGAGTAATGAAAACCGAAACAGACAAGCTGGGATTTCCACCAGGTATCGCCCACAAGCTTCTGGAAAATGTAAGCATTGTGAAATCTTGTTCTTAATTTAGCATTCATTAGTTGTAAACTCTGGCTGAAAATTCTGTCATCTTCTATTCTTCCCCCACCCCTAAATAGAACCGTTGAATCCACACAGGACGTTGAGATCAAGTATTAAAATACCTGCCTGTGTTGTTGTGCTTTCAGTGTGTGTTAGTATCTTCTATAGCAAGTGTATGTGTATTAGTATCTTCTATAGCAAGTGTTTGTGTGTTTGTGGATGTTTCCTCCACAATGATGTTTGGCTGCTGTGGATATATGCATATACTGTTGTCTTCAGTAAAGAAAAGAGTCATCAAGAATGATTGCTATTGTCAGGATTTCAGACCATAATTATGAGAGAAATATTTAATGGATATACACATGTAAAAGTAAAGGACCTCTTTTCGCGCCTTTGGTTGTATCAGGCTAGACCTATATTTTATAGACCACTCGGCACTCGGGAGATGATACAGTCAGCATCACGCTGGGAGTGAAGGTCATTTTTTTAAAAAAAGTCCTTCTCCACCAAGACCTGAACCCATGACCTGCAGATCTGCAGGTGAGCATCTAGCCGCTACAGCGCGGTGGCTCCTGGATATACATGGGTCGTGTTTTAGAGTGTTCAAAAAAGTTTAATGTTTGATATGACCATATGATGGTGTGACTTTGGCTTAAAATATTGCTACAAAGTTAAGGAACATCCTTAAAGAAAGTATTGCTGTAGCAATTACATTTGTAATTGCATCACGACTCAGAAGACGTGGCAGGAAATTGAAAACCATCAGTAGACATGATCAGGACTATAAAATGTGCCAGTATCGAAGTGCAGTAAGATAAGTCTAAAACTTTCAACTTTTCTGAACATTTTAAGAAGCGACACGACTGTATTCATTAAAAACTTTGTTTATAAAAACAGCTTAAATTCCTGGCAAACATTCTGGATGACCCTGCGTACAGCACAACAGATACCCACTCCTAAAGAATATTTAAACATCTTGTGTATTGTAATATAGAAATTATACATGCAAAGTTGTGATTTGTTGATGTGTCTATAGTTTGGCCACCTGGTCAAAATGAACCCAACATTAACTGTTGCTACAGCATGAGAATGGAAACATCAAGAGGGCAGAGGAAGGCCAAGAAGAAAGTAAACTCGCGAACCGAGCAATTTGGTTTTAAACCCAACTCACGACCTTTTAGAATGGCAGGTGGCTTGACCACCTCACCAGAAGAAGAACAAGAATTAAGAACACCAAGGACTAAGATATGGCAAGCCACATGATGATGATAATGATTTTGGGTAAACTTTGTTGGGGAAAAAGATTCAAGTGAAAATGTTTTTGTTTGTTTAAGTCTGTTTTTAGTAATTTCTATATTATATTAATTTTGACTTTGAATTCTGGCTCAATAAAAAACCTGTTTCCTAATGATTTATTTCATTCTGTTATCCTTGTACAGATTTTTAGAAAATATGAAGCCCTAGCATTGGCTGATGCAAAGAGGGTAGAAGAAATGAAGAAAGCCAGAGAAAAAGAAGCTAGAGAGAAAGAAGAAGAACAGCAGAGGGCCTCTGCTCAGATGGCTGTGGAGGAAAAGCCTATTTCAACATCAGGTCTGAAAGGGTTGTTCTCATCCAAATTGCTGTTAATATTTCTTTGTTGCTCTTTCTCTCTATTTTTCTGCTTCTTCTGTGTTCCCCGGCTGTAACCTGCAGCGGAAGGTCCTGGTTGTTTGTACATTTAGACTTCGGCTTTGTGCTGGAGCCTGACTTTTGCGTGTACATCTGTTTTACTGGCTTATTTGTGTGCATTTGGTTGTTCCTTGCCGCTCAGGAAGATGCACCCCAGCTTTGCAGGAAGCTCCCAGTTAGTCCACACTTACGACATGTTTATTTGAGTGGCAGTGGGTCTGTTCTTGTTTTCCCCAAAACGAGACCCTGGAACCCTCACAGGGATTTCTCTTTGTTCAAACAGTGGTTCCAAAAAAAAACATTTTTACGTAAGATAGAGGTCACTGCAGGAGTCGCTTGATGTGGGATGCATTCCATTTTATGCTTCACCCTGTTCGTGTTTTTTTAATTACTACATTCATGTGTCTTAATATGTTTCAGAAATAATTTTAGACGGTAGATAAATACATTTTATATAAATTTATTAGTGGCCGGTGTAAAAAAAAAAATTTACATATTTTTTCTGGAGTTCATATAGGGTAGTGACCTATTTATTTTATTGTTGCCAGGGTCTAGAAAATTTTGTGGGAAGGAAATATGTCTCATTTTATGTTGACCACATCATCTGTTGAATGCAGCGCCTTACACAATAAAAGACTAGCATTATGTATCCTGGGGAGCCACCGTGGTGTAGCGGCTAGATGTTCTACTGTGGATAGGAAGGTAATGAGTTCACAGGTCGACCCAGCCTTAAATGAGTATCAGGGAGAGTCCTGGGAAGCAAAAGCAGCTGGTGTGATGTTGACCACCTCAAACACAGAGTGCCAATTTGACTATAAAATATAGGTCTATCACAAAATGCCAGAAGGCTTGGAAAAGGGTCCTTTTTTTTTGCTTTTTACTGTAACCTACAGTGTCTCGGAGTCAAGCTGTTTGCCTCGTGCTTTGAAGGTCGCGGTTTGGTTTCATGGCTACATCATTCAGTTGCACACGTGCAGTTTTTTTTGGGAGAACCATGGGAATTATCACTGGAGCTATAGCGTTTATCCTTTGTGTGACACTCTCATGGCTTACCTTCTGTGGCGTTGTGCTGAGCCCTGTGGGATAAAACCCTGTACGATGAAGTCAGTCCTCTCGTCTGTAACTTTAACCTTAACAATGTTTCAGATGCAGCACACAGCAGCAGTTTTGATGAGAAAGATAAAGCAGACACAGACAAGTCGCAAAGTCCTGCGGAAGAAGCCAGAATGGACATAGATGGCGGGGAAACTGTCCACAACAGCATAGAACAGACAACTCCGGCAGCTCAACCAGCTGCTGCCTCAAATCCTGGCGAAGATGAGGATGAGAAGAATGAGGACCCAGAACAAGCAAGGTGTGTTGTCATTTCTCCTGTTATGTTTGTCATAACTGAGTGATGAAACAGTGGGTCACCCAATTTTATAATGCAGTGGCTAGCTTTTGTCAGCTTCTTTACATTGTTAACCGTTTTGTCTGAAAAGCCACAAAAGCGAGACTTATGAACTGGTCCCATTTCTCCATAAATGCTGCTTTTCCGACTTGCTGTAGACACATGTTTACGAGCTGTCTAGCATTTATATCTGTGGAAACTTGCAGCGTCCGCTGGTCAAGAGTCATACTAAATGACAGGCTTTGATTCACACATCTGTTGACCGTAAGTCCCACTCCTTCTTCTTCTGTGTCCGACATCTGTCATGCTAAATTTTGACTCCTGTCTGGGCCACAAATAGGATTGTGCGTTTAAGATCGCCACCGGTCTCCCATAGCTTCTCTTGCAATGTAGCTCCCTTGGACCAGATCCAGTCTTTGCTGGGAGAATTTAGGGTAGTACTGCTCAGGGATCTGTCTTTCTGCTCCACAATCACAGGCAGCAGATTACATCTTCAGTTGGACACAAAAGAAAAAAGAATGTCCAGTGGCAGTCTCTAGTTTTATTGAATTTTCATAAAAGTATTTTGGTCTTCTACGTTCATTAATCTAAGCCTGCCTTAGCTCATGTAAAATGTTGGTGCAGTATTTAATACATAGGAAACCAAGTGAGAGTAACAGTTTTACTTGTTCGATTTCAATGTTTAAAAAAAAAAATCTTTCCCACTGTTCCTGTACTTCAGGATGAGGGATCATCCATTTTTGGTGTAACAAATAGTTGACAATCAACGCAATGTTTCCCCGTTGTGAATTTGAACAAAGAAGACACATACTACCTTCGGCCATCCGTAGATCACTGCGGTACTCAGAAGCATCAGCGATCAGCCAGTTTAATTCAGAATTATGCAGACAGAAGGAAATGCTTGTCACTTTGCGGTTACCTTGATGAAACAGTGTGTGAATGTAGTCGATATTGTGTTTCAGTTTAAAGGTTTCATTTATTTACTTCATTTTAATCAATTGTTATTTAGGTATGCACCTGACAAGATACAACAAAACATGCTTGACAATAAACAGTTGACAGTCTGCTTCTTTATATGTCAGTAAATGAAGGACCTTGTTCTTGCCAGTGGCGTACCGGTGTATAGCACTAGATATATTTTTAAAAACTATTTGAAACTCAATGGGTGATGTAGTCAGAATCACGTCAGCCGACTTTACTTCCCATGACATTATCTCATACTCCTTATAGGCTGGGTCGATGACAAGCTATGATCAGTTTTTTTAAAAATCCACCTTAATGCAGATTTAAACCCTAGACCTTGGAGTAAAGAAGTGTTTAGTTCTGCGTGTTTTTGTCTGAGTTTGTATGTTTTGGTTTCTGTACAGGCAAAGACGAGCTCTACAGGCAAATCCTATGACATATAACGGCGCAGATCGGGATGCATATTGCTGGTCTCAGACAATCACAGAAACAGATCTTCGAGTGAAGGTGAGTTGTCTGATAGCATCATCATCATCCTCCAGTTTTTCGCAGGTTTTTTACAGGAAGGTCACTCGCATCTTGGACGACCATATAATCTTGACATGAAAATACGACATCCTTTTAATATATTTTATGCTTAGACACGGGATACCACAAGCAAATCAGTTTAACTCCACCTCCCCTTTATTAGGTCACTGGGGAGAAAGAGTTAATTATTCGTCCCTCGACCGTATTAAAACCTGAACCATTATCGTCAAGAAATAAATGAAACTGTGCTTTGATTGCACTGAAAGAAATGCTGCAATGAAAATTCCCCATCAACATATTTCAGTCGCTAATGTAGCTAAAACTGAAATATTAAATCTAATAATGTCTACAGATATAATTATATGTGTATGTTCTGTTCGCAAGCTAATTCTAACGATTTGAAAAAAAAATCACAGAAACAATGCATGATTCTCTGATATTTGGCTCACCCAGGGATTTGTCACGTCCCGTTCATGACTGTTTAGCCTCACTTCCGTATACCGAGCCTCTCATTCATCACGGGCTATACCTTTAGAGGCCAGCAGACCTAGTACTTAATTCTTCTTCTTCTTAAGCATTCCGAGGCCTTGAGGTTCATTGCTGCAGATATCATCCGATTCTGTTCATCTCTCTGGTTGGCCTTCTCTTTCCATTTGGTGACACCAAGTGTTTGCAAGTCTCTCTGGACATTATCTCTCCATTGTCTTCTTGGTCTGCCTTGTGGTCTGTGACCTTTGATCTCCCTTGTGTATACAGTTTTTACCGCTCTGTCATCTGACATTCTCTCAGTATGGTACTTGATTACCTACACAGAATTATTACTTTGCTTATTATGCATGTTAGACTTCCATCCGCTATAGTTTCATATGACATTTCCCCACACAGATGCAAATTTTTTTATTTTGTGGGATTCACTCTCGACTAGAATTGTTTAGGACCAAAAGAGTCAAGTTGGAGGCAGGTCTAGGCTCCATTTGGAAGTTGCAGGGTGCAAGAATTGATACTTTTTGTTGGAGTTTGTGACGTGTGTTAAAGGCAGTCTTACAGGTCATCAAAGAACAATAATTGAAGTGGTTTGGGCACCTAACAAGAATGCCCTGGTATTATCTGCCACAGCGAGCCACACTAAAACGTTACAACGGATATAGAGCGAGTGGAAGATCTCGGAAAATATGGAGTGATGGCATTAAGAACAGCCTTACAGAAATGAACATCAATCTTAATAGTGCTCTTGACAGAGCTCATCAACGAACATTACATCTACCCCCGACACTTCGATGAGGTACAAGTGGAAGAGAAGAAGAAGTTAAAGGCATGATCATGAAGGCTAACTGGCACTTGGTGGTGGTGATGACTGCCTGTCCTTGATGATGATATCAACGTGTGTACAGTATAAAATTTATTACATGATTTCTCAGGTTCCCAAGTCTGTTGTCAAGGGAAAGCAGGTTAAAGTGGACATTCAGAAGAAGCACATCCGAGTCAGTGCATTGACTGATGATGGATCTTGGTCGAATCTAGTTGACGGTGACTTGTCCTGGGAGGTCAATACAGAGGAGTCTATGTGGACATTGATCCCTGGCGAGTTTGTGCATGTAAGCCTCGTTGTTGTTGTTAGTTGCGTATCCTTTGCAGGACCAACCCCAGCAATTTTAGGCTGTTATGGTTTTTCTAGGCAACTTTAACGTTCAGTATTTTGCCTTTGCTTCTGAACGGTCAGCTCTCGGTTCCACTGTCGCAATCAGCGTAAGACAAATAATCCGCAGCTGGCTTAAACAAGCAAGCATTTCGGATCATGGCACATCAATTCAGTCATCCGATATTTCAGTATTATTTTTCAGTCGTCTTTCATATCCTTTACCAAATTCCTTTTTCTCGTCTGGTTTTTCTTTTGTACTTGATACTTTAAAAATCTTCTTTGCATTCAACGGCTGTAAACTACGGTGGAATGTTTCGGTTGTTCATCCACTTCTGTACTTATGCCTAGCGGCATACGCAGATATTGACAAAAGAAGAAAGAAGTGTTTACATTGTATATTTTTCAGCAGTTATTGGCTGCAACATCTGTCGTCATCATAGCATTGAGCCGGTTAGCCATCCTGAGTAGGTTCCAATCTCATGGAGAAATTATCCCTGACTGGTCCAGTAAAACATGCATTCCCCCAAAGCTGCATGTGTACCGGACCCTCATCTGGCGGAGGCACTTGGGCATTCACTGTCATCATGGCACTTGGGCATTCACTGTCATCATGGTACTTGGGCATTCACTGTCATCATTTTGCTTGGGCATTCACTGTCATCATGGCACTTGGGCATTCACTGTCATCATTTTGCTTGTGCATTCACTGTCATCATGGCACTTGGGCATTCACTGTCATCATGGCACTTGGGCATTCAGTCATCATGGCACTTGGGCATTCACTGTCATCATGGCACTTGGGCATTCACTGTCATCATGGCACTTGGGCATTCACTGTCATCATTTTGCTTGTGCATTCACTGTCATCATGGCACTTGGGCATTCACTGTCATCATGGCACTTGGGCATTCACTGTCATCATTTTTCTTGTGCATTCACTTTCATCATGGCACTTCGGCATTCACTGTCATCATTGCACTTGGGCATTCACTGTCATCATGGCACTTGGGCATTCACTGTCATCATAGCACTTGGGCATTCACTGTCATCATAGCACTTGGGCATTCACTGTCATCATTTTGCTTGGGCATTCACTGTCATCATGGCACTTGGGCATTCACTGTCATCGTGGTGCTTTGACATTCACTGTCATCATGGCACTTGAAAACTAAGATCATGACAAACAGTCCAGACCAACAACCAGTGACCATAGGTAACCAATCACTTGAAAATGTAGAACATTTCACGTATCTTGGCAGTGTGGTGTCCCTACTGGGAGGGACAGAGAAAGACATACAATCAGGTCTGAACAAAGCTAGAGCTGCTTTTGGAAGGATGAGGCAAATCTGGAAATCCAACAATTACTGCAGAGGAACGAAACTCCGACTCTACAAGAGCATAATTTTGCCAGTTCTTCTTTATGGAGCGGAATGCTGGAGAATGACCAAAAAGGATGCACACAAGCTGTCCACCTTCCACCACACATGTCTACGTAGAATTATCAAAATTTTCTGGCCAGATACAATCTCAAACTCTAAACTACTTAAAGCCACAAACCAAGAAACTTTAGACAGTATGATTACCAAGAGAAGATGGAAATGGCTTGGCCACGTTATGAGAATGACTTCTGATATACCTGCCAAAACAGCTCTCACATGGACACCAGAGGGAAAGAGAAAACAGGGGCGCCCAAAAAGAACATGGAGACGAACGATAGAAAGTGACCTGAGTGCGGCTTCTTTGACATGGAAAACTGCACTGAAGATTGCATAGGACAGGAAAGCATGGAAAGTCCTCTCTGAAGCCTCATGTGCCACTAGGCATAACGAGTACTGATGATAATGGGCAGATTGTGTTTATATTTTATTTATACGTTACTGAGTGGTTCTTGTTCATTTGTGATTCATTTTAGATATATTTGTTTGTTTCCCTTGAGTGCCATGGTTGTTAGTGGAAAATTATAATTTTTTTTTTTTAATTTCCCTAAACATACCATTATTTACTAATAATTAAACTACTAATATAATGTATTTTTGTAGCAGTATTCAAAATTATTCCTCAACAACCCCTGGTCACTTTGATAAATAACATGTACATTTTGCGTGGCAGGTGAATTAGAATGTTCTGTTAATGTGTAACACTTGTGACATTACAAAATAGCGTTATCACCCCTTAGGCCTCCGATGCTGAACTCCCTGGGACTCCAGGACTGAAAAGAATTATTGACATGGTAATGTCACCAATTTGAAAAGGAAATGAAGTCACTTTTGTTGCTATAATTGTATTTATGATGTGCATATAGCAAAGTATTGGTGACCTCAGTCCTGTCCAGTGCTGATCTTCCAACAAGATGATTTCAGTCTTCTGGTATGGCATAGCTCACACAGACAAGTGTTTTTTCTTCATGATCATAACCTTCATTAGCAACTTTTGCATTAGAGTGCTTGCCTTCTTCTTACTCTTTTCCCATTATTTGTGAAATGTCACTAAGTTTTCAGGTTTATTCTCAGAACACACCCAAAATATCTTGAATGTCTGTAACTAAATTATCCATTCAAATTTATTTTTTCAGCTGCAAGTCCAGTCACATTAAGTACTCTTCATACATAACTTGTCTACCGACATTATCTAGTATTTTTTTTTTTTCCAGATCAACCTTGAGAAGAAGCAAGAAAGATGGTGGGAGCATGTGTTTGTGGATGAGCCTAAAATTAACACCAGAAAAATTGACTGCAGCCGCCCAATGACAGATCTTGACGATGAGGCTCAAGCAAAGATAGAGGAGATGCTGTTTAACCAAAGACAGAAGCAATTGGGGCTTCCTCAATCACATGAAGCAGTAAGTAAAAATGACATGTCAGATTTAAGGCATCTATGTAACTCCTCAACTGTGAACTTGGCCTTCTCCAATGAGTTCAAGCCTTCTGATGCCAAAAGGAATCTTTTGGTGGTTAAAAGAATAGAACCACTGGTCCCCTTACAAGTATGTCATAAAAGTTGTCTAGTTGAAGGTGTATGCTTAAAGTCGGATTGCATCTGCCTGAGAGGTGAGGAACCATCAGTCTGCATACAGTTAAGTTAGATATGTAAAATCCCCGTGTGGGTTCCAGGGCCCTGTTATAGGGAAAACAAGAATAGACCCACTACCTACCCAAAAGCATCTTATAAGAGTCGACTAATTGGGAGCTTCCTTCAAAGTCAGAGTGCATCTGCCTGAGAGACAAGGAACCAACAGTCTACATACAAATTATTTAGATCTGTAAAACGATTGTGCACACAAGACTCAAGTTCTATAACAAGACCAAATTCCAGAATTGGACAACCGGAATGTTCCGCCTGAGTTTAGAGCTCATGAACGCTGAGATAAAGAATAAAGATTTCTTTTTGCAGCTCAGTATTCATAGAACTATACTTTTTAGAAATACTTCTTTCTCCATTTTCAGTGCTCAGATTCCACGGCATCCTAATTATTTCAGGCCCAGAACGTTAGAGCCCAAGTGAGGCAGTGCGATTAGCAATAAAAGCCTTGACATTCAACATCCACAGAGTCGAATTACACCAGTTAATCTTTTCAGGTGGTGCCCCCTCTCAGCCTTAAACAAAAATTTGATTAAAAAATTGACAGAAAGAAAAATCTCATGCACTGTTAACAAGAACATGGAGAAAAATATCCACAGAAACCAAAGTGTTAAATAACCTATAGGCAACAATTCCACCGCAGCTGGTAATTTAGTGTTCAAATATAAATGTGATGGCTGGCACTTTTGTTTTGATGATATATACTATTTTTGGTCTTATACAAAAGTCGTCCCCTTGTGGGATGCAATTTGTCATTATTTGAAGCCCCACCCTGGCTTTTGCTGGGGGCCCTGAATACAACTGGGCCATAAACGTGGCCATAACGGCTGAAAGGGGCTTCTGGGACAAGCAAGCAATGGAGATCACTCTCTTTATCAACTGGCATGACTAGTTTTTGTTTGTTTAATAACCCTCCACCACCCCACCCCCCCCCCCTCCCCACTTTTTTCAGGTTGGAAATCATTGAATAACAGGGTTAATGAAAGAGACTAATGTGTTGTTGGAGTCCTGACTAAATGTAAGGTATATACATACTTATGTAACATGCTGGCTGGTGCTGTATTGTACTCAAAAAGTTAATTCTTTTCTATCAACAGAAAACACATGATATGCTAAGGAAAGCATGGGATGCCGAAGGATCACCATTCAAAGGCCAGCCATTTGACCCAAGTCGTTTCAGTGTCGATCCTGGTGGGGCCATCACTTTTAAAGACTCGTGAAAGAAAATATTTTCCGCAGTTTTTGTTGCATTATATTTGTAAAATCACTTAGACAATTCCATTCATTTACACACTGGCAAATCAGTCACAACACAACTGTATTAGGACACTTGGGGAAGTTGTCATAACTCTGATTGATAAGACCCTTGACAGACAGTAGGAAAGCTGTAAAACTCAACAGTTATAACTGTCTGTCAACTGGTTTTTTTTTTGAAGACAGACCACACAAATAAAAAAAAAAGTTTTTAAAAAACATTGTAAAAAATGATTCCTGCAGTGCAGAAAATTTTTTTTTTTTAAGAATTACAGGTTGAGTCAGAAATATGGCTTCGTGTTTAATTGCTGTTTATGCATGACAGTATTATAGCTATGCAAATGACACTGCTCTCACGGGACAGCATAATCTTGCAGGCATTCTGGTATACAAGGTTCAGTATGGTGGATAGACAGCTGACTGTTTTTGTTCATGGCAGGTTGTTTACTTCCAACCATGTTAGCCATTTTGTTGTTCCTCCATATTTGGACTTTAAAGTATATAGTTCTGTTGTCCATCTGTTTAGTTGAATGCATGGCACGACACTGTAAGCCGTGGAGTTAATTTGGATAGCTTTTCAGTTGCGCCCAACACAGTTTGTGTTGTGAAGTTAGATTCATAGAGTGGCAGGTTGCCACACAACTGGTGGTGCCTTACATGTGCAACTACTGATTTGTTGTTACTTCTGCTTTGATCAATGATAAACTGCTTTTCTGGCGACAGACTGTATGCTTGGCACTTCTGATGGCTGCCTTATGCATTTAATGCATGTGTATTCTGTTGGCACTGTCAAGGCTAGTCTGTGTCAGTTATTTCACAAGAGTCAGTGATAGACATTGTATGTGGTTTTCCCCGTGTTGGTTCCCGGGCTCCATTGTGGGGAGAACAAGAATAGACCCACTGTTTGCCCAAAAGTATGCTGTAAGAGTCGACTAAATGGGAGCTTTTTTCAAAGTATATCTGCCTTCTCAGGCAAGAAACCAACAGTTTGCATGCAGATTAACCAGACCTGTGAAACAGATTTACACACAACACTCAGTTTTTTGGAGCAGGACTAGAGCCTAGAAGTGGATAAACAACCAGAACTTTAAACCAGAATTTAAAGCCGGTGAATGTGAAAAAAAAAAAAAAAAGAAGTATGTGGTTTTCACATGCACAGGAATGGAGCAGCCTGATTGCTGGGATGGTGTGACCTCATAAAGTCACCCAGCGTGTAGCTTGCTGCTGCATCATCTTGGCTAACGTCCTACGCTGAGCACAAGGCCTACTTACAATTGAATATCTGTATATACCATCCACAGCTCACAGAAGCCAGCTGCAGGCCTCGGAAATGAGATACCTGAGAAAGGTGGTCCAAGTGACAAGAAGGGACACAGTCCGCAATCAGACAGTACGTCAAGATCTTGATAACCAGACCCTACAAACCTGAGTGGATCAGTCAATTACGATGGTTTGGACATGTATGCAGAATGGGAGAAAATAGGCCACCATGGGAGGCTAGGAACCAGACCTCCAGGACGACCCAGGGTGCGCTGGGAAGACAACATCCGACAGTCCCTAACTGACAGAGGACTGAAATGGAACAAAGCCAGAAGGAAAACTGCTGATAGAGACGTCTGGCGATCTCTCTAACAAACCTCTACACCCCAAGGTAGAAGAGGAGCGACTAAGTAAGTAAGTAATACCATCCACCTTTTCTTGGATGCTTTCTAAAGGAAACGCCCCTTATTATTCACCTTTTACCACATGTTTGTGAGGTTGTCAATGTTTTTTCTCTCAAAATGGGGATAATTTAAGAGTAACATTGTGTTCATTTCAAACGTGTTGCCGTATTTCTGACTCACCCTGTGCAATTTGGCTATTTTCCACAAACAAATGCGTACACACACACACACATATATATACACACCATGTTTTTTTCTCTTTTCTGCAGGATTCTAAGTGAAATTAGCAATATTAATTTCCATGTATCTGTTATATTGATTTGTTTATTTTGTGAATGTTTTCAAACATGGTTTTTATGTTGCTTTTCTTGAATTATCTCGTTTGAGTAGTGTATGTTATTGTTCTGTAAGACAAACATATTGAATGCGCCACATTCCAGAGGTAATGAGACAAGGGAGGAGGGGACGGTGAACCACCTGTTGGAAATGGGCATTCGGTGACGGCTAGCATGCTGCCAAAAAAGCCTTTTGTGTTCCAGTGACCTCATGTCATGACCATGTGCTTCTTAACAGGAAGTTTGTGAAAGGGAAAGGATTGTTATTTTTTTGTCCTTTATCATCCAGTGGAGCATAGTCCTTAACCACGCAAGTCATCCAATCTTTGCTATTGCATGTGCTCCTCCCATATCCTCTGTCTTTTTGATTCCACTCTCTAGTTCCATTTTCCAGTTTTGTTTGGGTGGTTAATATTCTTTTTCTTCTCTATTCCTTTATCGCCTGGCAGCAGGTTTTGAAGCAGCATCGGGTGAGAGCCTTAATATTTGCTGCGTAGATAGTTTTCACAGCCTGGGCTATTCCATCTGTCAATCGCTTGCATGATCAGTCTCATCTTTGATTTCATTGTCCAAGTGTGAGGGCTCTCTGTGGTGTATTGTCTGGTTGTAGTCTTGACATGTCCAAACCATTTGATCTGTTTTTTCTATGGATGTAGTTTAATACTGGTTGCATCCCAAATATTTTCCTGATATTGTTATGGGAAAGCATTCCAGTTGCCAACTTTTAAAATGTTCCTAGGTGAAAGATATCAGTCCTAATTCTTTTTCGGCTTTTCTGCAGCACAGTATAAGTCTTCTGTTAGAAGAGCCTTCCCTCACCTGTATTGGTTCGCTGTATTATTTTTTCCCCTTTTTAAAAAAACTGTTTCTATGGTTAGCTGCTTGTTGTAGCTATTGTTTACAGGATGTGGGTAGCCAACCCCAGTCCTGCCCTTAATTGCCGCTTATGTATTTTGAATTGAAAATCGACATCACAGCACTCGGGACACCCCCATAAGCGCTCCGTCCCCAGCTTCAGCAGCAAGCGAAGAGTTAAAATTCCGGTGGTACCAGTAACTGTCTGATTGTATATCCGTCTCACCTTTCCCCTGAGTGTGCCAGATTCCCTGGAAACTCAATGCCATTCTCCTCAGAACAGGACCCTCACAACATCCAGCTTGTCATACGTAAATTCACCACCAAGTGGTGCAGAAACCTGTCAGTCTATCTGCGCACTTATTTCCCAGCACAACATGGAGAAAATATCCAAAGGATGCTAACTACCTGGGACCTCTGAAGTGATGCACTGGTGGCACAGGCATTATTGTTCTGAATACCAGCTATTTCCTGTGTGAATGAGTCTTTTTGCTTCAGAATGGCATCAGTATACCAGATATTACTTTCAAAGAACAGATGTCGTACATGAGGTAGCATGATAACATTTTTTGTTTGAATGTTGTTTTAATACTGCACAGATTTCTTATCTTGGTCACAATAAAATGTACAGCTAAGATGTAGTTTTGTTTGGTTCTGTTTCTAGACTTTTGCATTTAACTCTTTCAGTTTCTTACTTTTTAACTTAGTCGCTCCTTTTCTACTTTTGGGTTTAGAGACTTGCCGAAGAGATCGTCAGATTTCTCTATCAGCAGTTTTCTTCCTGGCTTTGCTTCATTCCAGTCCTCAGTAAGGAACTGTCAGATGTCTTCCCAGCGGACCCTGGGTCGTCCTGGTTCTTAGCCTCCCATGGTGGCTGATTTTCTCCCATTCTGCATACCCAAACCATTGTAACTGACTGATCCACTCGGGTTTCAAGATGTTTTATAACAGGTTAAATTGGAATGTCAAGAAAAACTGAGTTAATTACTTTCAAAAACCTGAACTTCACTAAAGCTGTCTTCCCCCATGCTGAGGTGGGAGAGTTAAGAGTGGTTGTAGCATAGCCACCAACAGGACCTCTGCAGCCGGACAGGTCAAAGGATAGAGAATTAAGTGAGACAAATGGCACCACAGAATCACAAATGTAGCTCACTGATAGATCAGAAGTGCATGAGTTCTAGGGAATCAACAGCCGAAAAAAAAAAAAATTAGATGGAACAAATACGTTAAGTAAGTAAAGGTCCTTTTTCCACACCTTTAGGCATATAGGGCTAGACATATTTTTTTTATAGACCAATCATTACAGGTGGGTGATTTGGTCAGCATCATGCCGGCCGCCTTTTACTCCCCGGGACCCAAGGGTCGGTCTGGGAGTCGAGGTCAGTGAGTGAATCCACGACTCCTGAACAAATATTGAGAGGCCTACTGGTGTGTGGTTGGAGAATCTGTGCCCTTCTTTTATTGGGACATGAAAATAAATTAAAAACAAAGAGACTGGAACGACCAGCAAAGGCAGGACAAAGCTGAGGGGTAGGATGTCAAATGTTAGGATGGTCAGAGGGAGAAGTAAGTTCAGGCATAGTTTTGCATTTGAATGCACAGTTTACAGCCACATTGTGATTCACTGATACGTTGATGAAAGCTATCACCAACCAACAGGTTAACGAGTTTGTCACAATATTTCCCAAAAGTATACCAGATGGTAGAGGAAACGAAAGGTTGGTAATTCTCCTCTGTGAATAACAATGTGCTTTTGCTAAAGGGATAGAATCTAGATTCATGAATATTTATTTTTGCTATCCAGCACTGTGTTCTACCTATTCTATCACTGATCTGTTTTTGCTTTCTAAAATGCCTCATAGCATCAATAGGTCTGTTTGCTTCATAATAGGTAATTGTCAGCAATATTTCTGCAGCCTATTATATGCATGTTATTATAATTAACTGCTTAATGATTGCCTCAGAAATTACCTTTCTGTGCCAACTTAGTTCACATTCTGCATGCATTTTCATGAGCTCAACATTACATTTGAGTAAACTGACATTTTAATGCTGAGCTACAGATTTTTAAAACTTAGCTCTTAATCTGCTTCATATCTTGTGATGACCGTT